AAAAAACTTAACAACCTGTCAATGTGAATAAATAAATGTACCTAACGTTGATAAATAAATGTACCTGACATTACAATGTTCTGATTGAATATCACAAATTTTTGGCAATTTCGGTAGACTTTTACGTTGTTCATTACCAATGAAGCTACTCGTCGTTGAGGTTGCTCAAATCATCCCCTACACCGACTCAGACTCGGTCCTAAACTCGGCCAACTCGCTTAACATCCCGTTGACTTTCTTCGATCTACCGTGGCTAGTCGGTCACCCATTCAAACAAGTCTTCTTCTACAGACTCACCGAGTCGACTCGTGAGCATTTCCATTCCTTTATCCTCCCTAAACTCAAACTCTCTCTTTCACTCGTCCTCCGCAGCTACCTCCCTCTCTGTGGCTGCATCACCTGGAACCCAAACGAGCTCAAACCGAGAATCGTCGTCTCTGAAAACGACGCCGTTTTGGTGACAATCGCCGAGACTGACGCTGATTTCTCTCATCTCTCCAGCTATGGACAACGTCTAGTCTCCGAGTTACACACTTTAACACCAGAGTTGCCGTTCTCCGATGACTCAGCGTCAGCTTTCTCTCTGCAAATTACGTTGTTCCCGAAACAAGGTTTCTCCATCGGCTTCGCAGCACATCACGGCGTTTTGGACGGGAAAACGTCAAGCATATTCATCAAAGCTTGGGCTCACTTATGCAAACAAGATATGGAAAACAGAGTCGTCATCTCTCTACCTGCGAGTCTAACTCCGTCTCTTGATCGGTCGTTGGTCAAAGATCTAACCGGTCTCGATGAACAGATGCTCGAGATGGTTAGATCACTCAAAGACGACAAAACCAACATGAGAAGCCTAAGTCGGAATCCCATCGGAGAAATCGGAGACGACGTTGTCCTGGCCACGCTCGTGCTGTCTCGCGATGACGTGGAGAGACTCAGGGAACGATGCATGAGTCAAGATGATCGGCGTCCACTTCACTTGTCGACTTTCGTCATCGCCTACGCATACGCGTGGACTTGCTTGGTGAAGGCACGTGGAGGAGACGGAGAACGAGCAGTGAGTTTCATTTTCGGAGGAGACTTCAGAGAGAGGTTAGATCCGCCGCTTCCAACGACATACTTCGGAAACTGCTTATTTACGACGGGTAGCTACAAACAGAAGGCGGCGGAATTTGCAGGAGAGAATGGATTGGTAACGGCGGTCGAGATCCTTAGTGATTTGGTCAAAGGGTTGAGTTCACCAGGAATAATAGAGACGATCGCACAAGGATTCGCGATTGTATTCGATTCCATAGGTGAGAGCTCACAGTTTGGATCTGTAGGTATGTCCAACAAGTTCGGACTATACGAGTCAGATTTCGGGTGGGGAAGACCCGTTAAGGTTGATTTTCTCTCCATTAGAGGAGATGGAATATCATTGGCAGAGAGACGTGAGGAATCAGGTGGGGTTGAGATCGGAATGTGTATGAACAAGAATGAATTGGACTTGGTCTTTTCTTGTTTCAACAATGGTTTACAAAACTAAACACTTTTCTTTTTATACAAAATTTCAATAATTTTCACTCAAGTAATAAATATGTCTTAGATACTAAAAGCATATTTATCAATGAACCTCAAAAAATATC